AGTAAAAAGGTTTGTAAACAAAAGGGAAAGGGTAGAGGGGATTCTTGAAATCATACTTCAAGTTGTTTTAATGAAAGTATTAAGACTTTATTAGCAAAAAAGTATAAAAACTTCTTGTAAATATATTTTTTGTGCGTGATTAAAGAATCAGCAGATGCTCTTTACTTTTCAGCAATTATATCTAGTTAAAAGACTTTTACTGGTATATATCTTTCATTACTCAAAAGATCAGATTCCTCAATAATACTTTTGTCTTGTAATGATATAAGAGTCTTGAGATGTGAATTCTTATTAATTATGATATTCTTCAATAACTTTTAGAAAAATATATTCTCAACTGTAATCCAAGAGTTAAAACTTAGTATGAACTAGAAACTGTTCAATTTTATTGCTTGATCAAGATAAAAAGGAGATCTTGGTTTTAAACTTTGCTTAACTAGGATGATAGGAGAGAAAGACTTTAACTTAAATGAATAGTAGCTTTTTCACTATCTGAAAACTTGTTGCTTATATCTTATTAACCTTATAGAACTTGATTTATAGATTAATTCAATTGAAGAAGTGGAGTGGATACGAGATATTAATTAACTCTTTTAATCATCAATGGCATTACTAAAACATATAAAGTGATCTGTAGGAACTTGTTTATATTCACCTACTAATATGTTTCGTATCCACCAATCATATTTTGCAATAGATTGCGTTACCTAAAATTCAGGATTAAACTGAGGTAGGTAAAATTTTTCAGAAAATCAAAAAAAATTTCATGTGACTATAATAGAAAAGAAACAGTGGACAACTACTTTAAAATATGGTTTGATGTTCATTATCTTCTACTAAAGATAGGTCCCTAAAAGGGAGTCAGGGACAAAAGTCAAATGTCCATTATTAAGAAACATTAAAATTTTTAAATTAATAATAATAAAAAAACTATTTACAATTATTCTCTATTATTCAAATTATTGATTTATAGTATTTTCTGATTTTTGTCCCTATTAAAGTGAAGAGTTATGAATTTTGTTCCTCAAAAAGGAATATAAGTGATCTGTAAAATTTTATATGCTAAATACTTTAAATATCCATCATTATCTTCTATTACAGATAACTTTATAGATGTATTTTAAAATAAAAGGTTTTAAGTACTATATTATTAGTTCTTTTTCCTTATAGAATTTTCTTGCCATAGATAAAAAAGGTATTTCTTGACTTTTCTAGATCACAGAAAGTCAAGTTTTTATTTGAAGACAAATATAAATAAGAAAGGGATTTAAGAGTATCTCTTGAAATTAAAAATAGATATCTAAAGAGGAAGATAAAGACAAAAATCAAATGTCCTTCACTAAGAAACATTAAAATTTTTAAATTAATTACTATTAAAAAACTACTTAAAATTGTTTTTTATTATTCAAATCATTGATTTATAGTATTTTCTAACTTTTGTTCCCATTAAAGTAAAGAGTTATAGATTTTGTCCTTTAAAAAGGAACATAAGTGATCTGTGAAATTTTATATGTTAAATATTTTAAGAATCTATCATTACTTGAAATATAACTTCAAGTTAATTTAAGGATAATATTAAGACTTTATTGGCAAAAAATAAAAAATTTCTTGCAAACATCTTTTTTATATGTGAGCAGAGGATTAGTGGAAAGAATAAAAAAAAAACAATAATAAAAATTTTATCAATAATATAAAAAAGTTTTAAAAAAATAATTAAAAAAATTAATATTAAATAATAATTGAATAAAAAATTTTTTAAAAAATAATATGAAATATCAAAAAAAAATATTAGTAACAAAGATAAGATAAAACTAGTAAAAAAAAAGTTTGGTAGTATTTAATAAAAAATTCTAAAAGTAAAAGTATAATTCAAAAAAAAATAAATATATATTAAAAATAAATTATAAAGAATAAAAAATAATTAGATTTTTAATTTATTAGATAAAAATTTAAAAGATTTACAGTAATAAACTATAGATAGGAGCTTGATAGTTAAAGAGTAATCCAAATTATTAAGGAAGCGAAATATCATTTTCCAAGTTGCATTTAAAAAAGATTTAGATAAGTTAATATACTACTGTATATGAAGTAAATAATAATTTGTATAATACAGTACAGTTCTTATACATTACTCCGGTTTGCGCTATGATTCGTGACACTTGAAATAGACTTTTATAAGTTAGCTATTTTCGGTCAATAAGGAGTGAGTCAATATATCTACAGTTCCACAATTTTAGATGATAAGACAAAAAACTTACTAATATAAAATAGATTATTTGTGTTACTAAAGCGTACGCAAGGCTAAGTATTGCACGATCACTCGCAATTTTTATTGGACAAAACAAAATTTACGCAATTTTAATATATATGTGCATGATTTCCGATTGACCTCTACCATCGTGAAAACAAATTTCCTGATTCGCCAACAATATCCATAATATGCACGTTCTGCGTTGTTAAAAAAGCTTAAACCATTACACAAATGACATAATGTGACAAAATAATAATGACTTGAATAGAAATTCTTTGTTGATTTGTAATACACATGCGTCAGCCCACTTTTTTTCTAGGCTAGTCTAGTTTCTTATATTATTCCTTATCGCAGTGATATCACCAATACTCCGGCTATTAGTAATCCAATTGTTTTGATCGCAAATTACTATAAAAAGGGCCAATTTTTTTCAAGCCTTGTTTCAAACCTTTTTTCTTCTTCCAGAGTGAATATACTAGATTTCAAAAAAATTTTTTTTTCTTCAAATAAACGCTTATATATTGCCAGTATGCAAATCTTCGTAAAGACCTTAACAGGAAAAACCATCACTTTGGAAGTTGAATCTTCCGACACTATTGACCAGGTTAAACAAAAGATTCAGGATAAGGAGGGTAAGTTGTATAGTAATAATAATATGTTTTGTTTATTTATATTACGCACATGGTCCTCAACTTCTACTTGATTTGAAATAGGTATTCCACCGGATCAGCAACGTCTTATCTTCGCTGGCAAACAGTTAGAGGACGGTCGCACCTTGTCCGATTATAACATTCAAAAAGAGTCTACACTCCACCTTGTACTCCGTCTTCGTGGGGGTATGCAAATTTTTGTTAAAACCTTAACCGGTAAAACTATTACCTTGGAGGTGGAGTCATCCGACACAATAGATCAAGTTAAGCAAAAAATCCAGGATAAAGAAGGTATTCCTCCGGATCAGCAACGACTTATCTTCGCCGGTAAACAACTGGAAGATGGTCGTACTCTCTCCGACTATAATATTCAAAAAGAATCTACTCTCCATCTTGTTCTTCGTCTCCGTGGTGGTATGCAAATCTTCGTAAAGACCCTCACTGGTAAAACGATTACCCTTGAAGTAGAGTCATCAGATACTATCGACCAAGTAAAACAGAAAATCCAGGATAAGGAAGGGATCCCCCCAGATCAGCAACGTCTTATTTTCGCCGGTAAGCAGCTAGAGGACGGTCGTACCCTCTCCGACTATAATATCCAAAAAGAATCTACTCTTCATCTTGTACTCCGTCTCCGTGGTGGTATGCAAATCTTCGTAAAGACCCTTACGGGTAAAACAATAACCCTCGAAGTAGAGTCATCAGATACTATAGATCAAGTAAAACAGAAAATTCAAGATAAGGAAGGAATTCCCCCAGATCAGCAACGTCTTATTTTCGCCGGTAAACAGTTAGAGGATGGTCGTACCCTCTCCGATTATAATATTCAAAAAGAATCTACTCTTCATCTTGTACTCCGTCTCCGTGGTGGTATGCAAATTTTTGTTAAGACCCTTACGGGTAAAACGATTACCCTCGAAGTAGAATCATCAGATACTATTGATCAAGTAAAACAAAAGATCCAAGATAAGGAAGGAATCCCCCCAGATCAGCAACGTCTTATATTTGCCGGTAAACAGTTAGAGGATGGTCGTACCCTTTCCGACTATAATATTCAAAAGGAGTCTACTCTTCATCTTGTACTCCGTCTTCGAGGTGGTATGCAAATCTTTGTTAAGACCCTAACGGGTAAAACAATTACTCTAGAAGTAGAATCATCCGACACTATTGATCAAGTGAAGCAGAAGATTCAAGATAAGGAAGGAATCCCCCCGGATCAGCAACGTCTTATTTTCGCTGGTAAACAATTAGAGGATGGTCGTACTCTTTCCGATTATAATATTCAAAAAGAGTCTACTCTTCATCTTGTACTACGCCTTAGAGGTGGTAACTGAACATAGGGAATTATCGTCAATACTAGTTATCATTAAATATTATAGCATGTAATTGGATCAATAAAGAATTCTTTAAATTACCGAATACTGTAAAGTATTTTGGATGAAAAAAAAAATATATTTTTTAAAGTGTGATGTTAATATTGTATCGCTTGCTCTATTTTTGTTATTATAGTTTTTGAAATAAAGTCAAATTTTTAAATAAACTTGTCGAGATTAAAATTATGTTATAAATCTTGATATATTTTCAATAATGGGTTTTTTTAGATATAATATTTGATTTAATAAACGGTTTTTACTAACTCTTTTTTTATATTTTTAAGTTATCTTTCTATAAAGCTAATTGATATAAAACCTTTTATGATTTCTTTCTTGTTTAGGATTTGTTAACATATTTTTTTAAGATTTGTTAAATGTTGTGAGTATAATTTATAGTTACATATGATTCTTGAAATGAATGCTATTTTAATTTACAATTAGCATGTCTTTATTTAACTTATTTTTATACAAAAGTATTTTAAATTTGATTTAAAAAATAATATTATACTCTTCTAATTAAATTGAATGTTCTTCTATCTATTAAGGTTATTGTCAATAGTTTGTTACTATTAATTGAACTGAAAATTATAAATTGTTAAGGTTAAAAGAAAAAAAAATATAATAAAATGAAAAAAGAAAACAATTCAAGATCTATTGAAAAAATCCAACAATAAAAACAATTTCTTCTTAAAGGAGATTTATTTAATTGACTTGAATTTCCAAAAAGGATTTTTTTGTCACTATCTACAATATTAGACAAGTTAATTCAATGTGTTTTTAATTAAGTAAATATCAAATTGTAATATTTCAAAAAAAAGATATTTAGATTTTAGTTTTGTTTATTAAAGTTTTGTCAATACAGTATCTAAGAAACTTAAGAAAGAAATAAGAATTTATAATTTATCTTATCCATTTCTTTATCTTTTGATATTATAGATATCTTTATTAAAGAACTTTTTTTTTTTCTAAATGTTTAACTGATAGATAAAGTTTTATTGAGTGTTGATAGTAAACTTTATATTAATTATATAAATAATTCTATATAACCATTTTTCACTATCATATTTTATTAAGCATATCAATTTTATTATATTGAGTAATACTATTTTTTCAGTTATTCTATTCTACTCAGGTCATATAGTATTCCAAAGATCACTATCGAATATTGATCTTTAATTTTTTAGAAGCTTTCTTATGAATTTTTACTATGTTTAATTCTCAACAGATTGATTAAAATTTTAGATAATACAAATTCTATAATTATATTTATTATATCTCAGCAATTTAATAGTATTATATGTTTGAGTAGCATATAATCTTTCATTATCTCTTTTTTAATTACTCTTGTGAATTGGTTCTACGGAAGTTTTTCTTAATCAAGCATAATTCTTAAGTCTCTTTCAAATATATTTATTCCTATAGTTTTCAATGTGATGTAATATTAATCATTAGACTTTTCTATGGCTGTCCTCTTTGATAACCATTGATTTTATAATCAAAACAATTTTTCATTAATTATATTATAATCTATTCATTTTTAATAAGTACAAGTGATCAAAATTTTTTTATTTTTATAAAGTGTATTTTTAATAAGAGGTAAATTTCATTTCATATTTGTTTAAGAATTGAATCAATTAGAAGTCTTTTTCTAACTTGTCTTAATGTTTTCACATATTTTGATCAATAAAATCTTATGATTTTTTTAATATCAAAACTGATTAAGACTGTGTAACTAGATTATACTATGATCAAATAATGGGATTTTATAGATTGATTTTTTTTTTTAACCCTCTGTCAGACTAATTATGTGTACTTTATTAAACATTAGTATACTATACATATAAAATAAATCGCTAAAGCTAAATCTCTAATTAACTTGCTCGTCTTGGTTATTACCACTCTAAGTGCAACTTCGGAAGTGATTTATCACTCTATTAGTAGCTCAGGTGAAAACCCTTCCAACTACTAATTTCATTGCTTGCAAATCACTACTGCAGATCCTTCTTATGAGTTCTG